AATATGGCTAAAACAGAGACAATAAAGCCATGGTTTTTTTTCTGCTTGCATGGCTTCCCTCACACCAATAGTGGCACCATTTTGGAAAGCATTCCAGTAAAAATATTTTTGTATGAGTTAGAGGTACTATTAAACCATTGGGGCATGTGACGAACCGAACCTTGTCACGGGCTCCTGGAAGAGCCTGCTAGCCAGCCTCCTGCCCCAGGATTTTGGGCCATGAAAAATACACAGAAAAAAGGCTTGGTTTGTGCAATTTGGCTTATATTGTTTGGGAATCAAACCAGAGACCACCCAAGTGCTTGTTAAGCCCAATTGATACTTTGTAGCAATTTCCACCACTGTGTTCTAAGTGTTCGTGTGGGTAGCCGCATTTCGTATAAATGACCATGAGGTGGTGGCCAACGTGTTTCCGTGAACGCAGGCAGCGGTGTTTGGGCATTAATCTCATGGAACTAAATGGACCGCTGGACTTCCATCATCACATGCATTCGGTTCTACCCCACTTAGAAAGGCACTGTTTGGTGGAAACCTTCCCACGAACAAAGGGAAAAGGCTACACAAGTAACCTAAGGATTCCATTCTTTGTTTTATTCTTTTGTGCTCCAGAACGAGACCGATCGTTAGCCCAGATTTCCTTAAACTGTTTTGAGCACAGGACCATGTGCACAGTTGGTAAAATAATTGACTTCCATGAAAATCCCGAACCCCTGAACCGATCTGGGTGATTTTTGGATATGTTGGTCACCCAGACCGGGGTTATCAGGGGATGTGACTTCTCTGGGGCTTTCACTTTAGGGGTGTTTTGGGGTTTGTTAAATTATATGGTTTTGTACCTGAGAGATAATTTTATTATTTGGGTTTTTTGTGCTCAGGTAATTATATCTTAGACACAGGGGAGGAGTATGTGGAATGTTTGCTTGTAACTAGTTCTCTCTCAGGTTCAGAGGGGAATGCCCCTGGAATATGTTTAAGGGAACCCCTTGCATGAGGAGTTACATAAAAGGCCGTTTGTGGCTCCCATTAAACACATTCTTTTTTCCCTTCATGAAGTCTAGGTCATGTTTGGGGGATTCAGAGCTATACTCACAATCATAACCACTACTCTGCTTGGAACCAGGAGCTATAATCACTGCACCTCTCGGGACTTGGAAGACTTACAGCGGATATACTCTGCCGAAGAATAGGGGATCCGTTACAGCTTAAAAAATACATGACTTTACGCATATTAGGATTAAAATATGTATTGGTACCCCTAACTGCAACACACATTGTAAACAACTGACAGACAATAAGAATAGTGATGTAAGCGGAGTGTTAGCATAGTAGTGGTATATATACTCACGAAAATTCTTAAAATAAAAATATGGCATGTTGTACATAAAAATGGCAAAGAAAATGCAGGTTTCCTTGTACAGTAATGCAGGGCCGTATTAACAACATTATACGCACGAATAATATCTGTTCTCAAGAAACCCCCCCGATAGTCATCTGGACGGGAACCATCCTTCTCCCTTATAGCCTTGTGAAACACTATTCTAGTGATCTTTAATTGTGTAATAGATAGCTCGAGAAAAAGGTCTCTGATGTAGATTTAAAAATATATTTTTTTATTTCTTCCTGCCTCCTGTGTATTCAGCAGTCTGCGTGTGTGTATTTAGCAGTCTGTTTTGATTAAGCAATCTGTTTGTTTGTGTATTCAGCACACAAGCAGACTGCTGAATACACACAAACCGAATACAGATTACATACAGATTGCTGACTACACGCATACACACTGTTGAATACATACACACAGACTGCTGAATACACACACACACACACACAGACTACTGAGTACACACACACAGACTGCTGAATACACACACAGAGACTGCTGAATGCAGACAGATTTCTGAGTACACACACAGACTGTTAAATGCATACAAAGACTGCTTAATACCTACACACAGACTGCTGAATACATACACAGAGACTGCTGAATACAAACAGACTGCTGATTACACACACATACAGAGTGAAAAATGCATGCGCAGACTGCTGAATACACACACAGACTGTTGAATACATACACACAGACTGCTGAATACACACACAGACTGCTGAACACACATAAAGATTGCTGAGCACATACATACATACATACACACACAGAGATTGTTGGACACAAACACACAGACTGCTGAATACACACAGACAGACAGACGTGAGGGTTGCAGTGTCTGAGGGGCTCAGTGTGTGTGGGAGGGGTCCTGTGTGTGTGAGGGGTTGCAGTGTGTGTGTATGTGTGTTTAAGAGGGGTGCTGTGTGTGTGAGGGGTGCTGTGTGTGTGAGGGGTGGTGTGTGTGTGAGGGGTGGTGTGCTGTATGTGAGGGGTGCAGTGTGTATGTGTGTGTGTGAAAGGTGCAGCCTGTGTGTGTGAGGGGTGGTGTGCTGTCTGTGAGGGGTGCAGTGTGTGTGTGAGGGGTGCCGTGTTTGTGTGTGAGGGGTGCAGTGTGTGTATGTGAGGACCACTGTGTGTGTGAGGAGTGTTGTGTGAGCGGTGTAGTGTGTGTGTATGAGGGGTGTAGTGTGTGTGTGTGAGGGGTGCAGTCTGTGTGTGTGAGGAGTGCTGTCTGTATGTGAGGGGTGCAGTGTGTGTGAGAGGTTCAGTGTGTGAGAGGTGCAGTGTGTTTGAAGGTTCAGTGTATGATGGTGCTGTGTGTGAGTGAGGTGTGCTGTGTGTATGTGTGTGTTATCAGGGGATGTGACTTCTCTGGGGCTTTCACTTTAGGGGTGTTTTGGGGTTTGTTAAATTATATGGTTTTGTACCTGAGAGATAATTTTATTATTTGGGTTTTTTGTGCTCAGGTAATTATATCTTAGACACAGGGGAGGAGTATGTGGAATGTTTGCTTGTAACTAGTTCCTTCTCAGGTTCAGAGGGGAATGCCCCTGGAATATGTTTAAGGAAACCCCTTGCATGAGGAGTTACATAAAAGGCCGTTTGTGGCTCCCATTAAACACATTCTTTTTTCCCTTCATGAAGTCTAGGTCATGTTTGGGGGATTCAGAGCTATACTCACAACCATAACCACTACTCTGCTTGGAACCAGGAGCTATAATCACTGCACCTCTTGGGACTTGGAAGACTTACAGCGGATATACTCTGCCGAAGAATAGGGGATCCGTTACAGCTTAAAAAATACATGACTTTATGCATATTAGGATTAAAATATGTATTGGTACCCCTAACTGCAACACACATTGTAAACAACTGACAGACAATAAGAAAAGTGATGTAAGCGGAGTGTTAGCATAGTAGTGGTATATATACTCACGAAAATTCTTAAAATAAAAATATGGCATGTTGTACATAAAAATGGCAAAGAAAATGCAGGTTTCCTTGTACAGTAATGCAGGGCCGTATTAACAACATTATACGCACGAATAATATCTGTTCTCAAGAAACCCCCCCGATAGTCATCTGGACGGGAACCATCCTTCTCCCTTATAGCCTTGTGAAACACTATTCTAGTGATCTTTCATTTTGTAATAGATAGCTCGAGAAAAAGGTCTCTGATGTAGATTTAAAAATATATTTTTTTATTTCTTCCTGCCTCCTGTGTATTCAGCAGTCTGCGTGTGTGTATTTAGCAGTCTGTTTTGATTAAGCAATCTGTTTGTTTGTGTATTCAGCACACACGCAGACTGCTGAATACACACAAACCGAATACAGATTACATACAGATTGCTGACTACACGCATACACACTGTTGAATAAATACACACAGACTGCTGAATACACACACACACACAGACTACTGAGTACACACACACAGACTGCTGAATGCACACACAGAGACTACTGAATGCAGACAGATTTCTGAGTACACACACAGACTGTTAAATGCATACAAAGACTGCTTAATACCTACACACAGACTGCAGAATACATACACAGAGACTGCTGAATACAAACAGACTGCTGATTACACACACATACAGAGTGAAAAATGCATGCGCAGACTGCTGAATACACACACAGACTGTTGAATACATACACACAGACTGCTGAATACACACACAGACTGCTGAACACACATAAAGATTGCTGAGCACATACATACATACATACACACACAGAGATTGTTGGACACAAACACACAGACTGCTGAATACACACAGACAGACATGAGGGTTGCAGTGTCTGAGGGGCTCAGTGTGTGTGGGAGGGGTGCTGTGTGTGTGAGGGGTTGCAGTGTGTGTGTATGTGTGTTTAAGAGGGGTGCTGTGTGTGTGAGGGGTGCTGTGTGTGTGAGGGGTGGTGTGCTTATGTGAGGGGTGCAGTGTGTATGTGTGTGTGTGAAGGGTGCAGCCTGTGTGTGTGAGGGGTGGTGTGCTGTCTGTGAGGGGTGCAGTGTGTGTGTGAGGGGTGCCGTGTTTGTGTGTGAGGGGTGCAGTGTGTGTATGTGAGGACCACTGTGTGTGTGAGGAGTGTTGTGTGTGTGAGCGGTGTAGTGTGTGTGTATGAGGGGTGTAGTGTGTGTGTATGAGGGGTGTAGTGTGTGTGTGTGAGGGGTGCAGTCTGTGTGTGTGAGGAGTGCTGTCTGTATGTGAGGGGTGCAGTGTGTGAGAGGTTCAGTGTGTGAGAGGTGCAGTGTGTTTGTAGGTTCAGTGTATGATGGTGCTGTGTGTGAGTGAGGTGTGCTGTGTGTATGTGAGGGGTGCAGTGTTTGTGTTTGTGGGAGGGTTGCTGTGTGTGTGTGTGTCTGAGGAGTGCTGTGCGTATGTGAGGGGTGAAGTGTGTGTATGAGGGTTGCTGTGTGTGTGAGGGGTGCAGTTTGTGCATGTGAAGGGATGGAGACTGTGTGTGGGAGGAGTGCTGTGTGTATGTGAGGGGTGCAGTGTGTGGGGAGTGCTGTTTGTGTGTGGTGGGGGTCCATAGGGATAAGGGATAATTATTTTTATTATTTTTATTTAAAATAAATAAATAAAAGCTACATATCCCCCCCACCTTTCTTCTTACATTTAGTGAAGGATGGGGGGCACACTACAATCCCTGGTGGTCTGGTGTTGCGTTGTGCTACAAAGGCTGACTTCTCTCTTCCTGTGAGCAGAACGCTGTGTCAGAGCATTGTCATGGTAACGTACGGTAACGGTCCGACCAGCATGCTCGAGGGAGGAAAAATTGTTGATCAAAGGATCTCCCCTGTCGGCCCCAGCACATGGGCAACACAGTGGGGCCCCTATGCTTGTGCCCATGCACAAAGATGGCCCTGTAAGTACACAAGGATCCTGTCCACCCTTTGGGAAGACCTTTAGTACCCAAGGTGGATTGTTTACTATTTCCATTGTCTAAATATATCGATTTACAACTCTTTATGCTCTGTTCTGAATTTGGAACTGTTTTTAGGGCATTTATAGCCATGCAACTGGCTTCTCAGGATTAAGAAAATCCAAGATTGCCGTTTCCAAAACGTTCCACGCGAGTGGTCTTAAGGAGCTATCTATGGAAAACCCATATAAAACGGCACTTAAGGTAACTCCCATTTTAATGTGGGCCAATGATATTAATTCTGCTAATATATTCTACATGTAGAAGATACAGGTACCTTTGTCATTTTTCTTAGTAAAGGTTTTTGGTTAATTAGTTTGTGAAAAATAGTTTTAATTTCTTCTTAACATATCAGAAAGAATTAGAAAGAAAAAGTGATCTTTTTTATATGCGAATTTTATAAAATGAGTGGCATTTGCTATACCTGTATTAATGGTGGTTCATTCATATATACATAGCAGTTCAAGACAGCCTGACAGACAAGAAAGTAGCATCTCATGATATATCCCTGAAGAAGTCCTACCTCCAGGGCGAAACACGTTGGATTATTATTCTTTCCTTTGACTTTTACTTCATACATTGTTTATATTTTATCTTCTTATTATTGCTATTTCTTCAGCGATATTGGCATATTCTGCTGTTTTTCCAGGACCCATATCCTGCTGGAGTTCCACTATTGGTAGAGATATGCCTATATTTTTTACACTTCTGTAAGTGAAATACAACAAATATTCCATTGTTTTTATTTTACTTCACTATTGTGGCCTTTTTTCTTCCTTTCATTTCTACCAAGATATATTCCACATTGAAGATCCATATTCCAGTACCGTTGGAAGGGAGATGTGCCTAAATCTTTCATTTGTTTGTGAGATTTTTACTTTATACTCACTGGGATATTTTGTATTACTCTATTATGCTATGTACTATTTATGATTTTTCAAATATCATTATATATCAGTGGAACATTCCACATGCACTTTTATAGGTTGTTATATTTCCTTTTTTACGTGTATTTTTCCCATATTTTTTATTGTCTGTATTATTTTGTTGTGAGGTACACCTGGGATATCACTTTTGCATGTATTATTATTTATTTATTTTGTCTCACATATTGGTGTTTATATATTGTTTTTGTTTACAATTAGAATGTAAAGAATGCATCTGGACACTTTTACAGCGAGAAGTCATCATTGCAGTACCTCCTCAAGAGATATTAGAAGGCATCTATTCACCAGTGTCCCTTGCTCCAAAAGATTCATATAAATGAGTGTAATATTGGATGTGAAGGGATATAATACAGGTATAAGGAAATGGACATTCAAGATGGAGAGTGTGCAATCAATTTTACCCAAACATCAATCATCAGACTGGCAAGTCTCAGTGGACCTCCAAGACACATACTACCATATGCTTCCAATAACAGAAAAAAACCCTGCATTTTTGGCAGTATACAAAGCATTGATTTCCTCCAAACACCTTCTGAAGACCAAATGGGAGTATGGACAACGTGACAACTATGGCATACTATGAGGATATTTATGGGGTGATACATATTAAAAATAAAAATTATCAATTTAAAAAAAAAATAATTGTTACTATATAAAAAAATTGACATATTGGCACTGTTCATGTTATTTTTAACTCTTATAGACCCTGAAGTACATGTTTATTAGAGGATTTGTTTTTCAAAAATTAATCACAAACCAACAAAACAAATATGACAATAATTAGTGAATAATTAAGTATAACAGATGTATACAATATGGCAGTTTAACACAGTTCTGATAGCAATAGCAACATATCTTCATTAATGCAAATTTCAACAGATTTACAGCAGGACACGCTCTTTGAAATCAACTTGCTAAACATTCCTTAACACATGACTCTTTGCATCATCACAGCATCAGCTCTGGAATTCCTTTATGCAGAACACAGTATCTCCCAGCACAGCTTAAAACAATAAAAATGATTTTTGGCTGACAGGTAAATCAAACTGAATTAATTTACTAATTTACTGATGGCTACAATTCTCACAGGCAAATACCTTTTACATTGCAGTGACAAATACAATATTTCTCATGCCACATAAGTTAACCATTCCTTAACCATTCCTTCTCGTCCAATAACCAATAAGAATAATTCTAACCAAATTTTACCATAGCAGAATTTTAACTTGCCTAATTAAAGATGAATATCCCTAATCCAGATAAATCAATATCTCTGATTAATAGCTGATAATCTATTTTTGGCAAATTACCAGTAAATATATTATTTGCTTATTCTTTGGGCAGTTAAGAATTTGGAACAATATATTTCATTAGCTAACTATGATTTCATAATAGTTGAAATCTTACCAGCCTTTTATCCAGATATATTTCTGTTTTAGTAAAAATTTATTAATTTAAATTAAATAAAATTAAATAAAACCAGTATAATTACCAGCTTCTTTTGTAGAATTTATTTTAGGCTTGGAGATATATCCCAGGAATTGTGAATGTAAGTATCAATGGGAATTGTGGGAAATGGGAAAATTTCAGCGTTCTGGATTTTAAAGTATCTCAAAGTTAAATGTTAACATGTTACGTTAAAGTGTTAGATGGCGCCATACCATCACAAGAAATTCTCGTCAGGAAGTCCAGCTACGACCTTGTATAAAGAGTTAATTGAATTTCATGATGCGTTTGATGTGAATTTTGGTTATCTTTATGGATAACCGTCCATCAAAATCTGTCAGACTTCAAAGACTTTTCTTTCGTTTTACCAGACTTACCTTTTGGTTTTGGTGTCATAAAATTAGAATTTTGACACCACTGAACTCTTGTTCACTTCTCCTTACAATGGAACTTTTGTATCAATCCATAATATTTAAAAAGTTAAATTAATTACTTAGTGTTATCTGTCATTGGTAATCCTGTGTCCGGTTTTCTTGTGTGAAGCTACATAGTTAGTAATGTGACAGCATGTGATATATACATGTCTCTTACTCATTCGACTAAATGAGTTAAATAATATGACATTTCTTCATTGATATTCTATCCATGAATATTATAATATTTTTACCTTATTACTAGAATGAGAAGCCAGAGACTGATGCAAGAAATAAAACCTATTATGGGCACTACTGAACCTGGAAAGTCTATCAGCAATTCAACTTCTGGGGAAAAACATCAGTACACTTAATTGTTTTCACAAGCTCGAGTTCAAGATACTCTATCATAGAAGTGGGAATTTCAGCTAGACAGATTTAGCGAGATGAAATCTGATGCCAAGTTTGTATTGGTTGTAGGGTAATTTGGGAAAAATGAGGATGCAGAGAAAGATTAGACTAGGCTTGCAAAAACAAGACCAATACTAATCATATTACCCTTGTTTGAATTAACTAAACAGGTATTAGGCTAGGTGCCTTGATTAAAAACACAAACCTTATTGAATCCCTATACAGGTAAAGAAATCACACACAAAAAGATAATAAATGTAGTGAAAGTGTCAAAATAAATGTGCTTTAAAAAATGAAAAAGTAAAGTAAATATACTTGTTTAAAATAGGACCAACTGTCAGAACATTAATGGTAATTCCAAGATTGCACACCCACTTAAAATCGAGATACACTAGCTAATAGACTCAATACAGTGTTGCAAAGAGTTGCAATAATCAAGGGTACTGAGCATACCCACTGGCCAATACCTCAGGGTCCGCAGAAATTGCAGTACCCTTGAAGAATTCAATATCAAAGCTAAAATTCTAAAACAGCAGTTCAAAGATAAGGGCTCTCCTAACAAATGCCTAAAAAGAGCGTATAAAAGAGCACTGGAAGTTGACTGGAATACACTACTTGGCAAAAACCCACCTGAAAATGGAACTAATCCACCACGCATGATCGCAACATATGATGCAGCGTGGGATCGTATTAAACAAGGGATCCAGAAATTCTGGCCCCTTTTAAAGGATGATTCACACCTTAAACACATTCTCGGTCCTATGGTCCAAATCACAGCTTGTAGGGGTAAAAATCTAAGAGTTTTGGTCCCCCCGCCATTTTCAACCCCATCGTACCATAACCCACACTTGGCTGACCACTCCTCTTGTGGGTTCGTTCAAATGTGGATGATGCGTCACCTGTAAATTTATTAAACGTAACTCCAAACAAGTTACTGATAGTGAAGACAAACAATCATTCAAAATTACCTCATTCTTTAACTGTAACACTGCAGGTTTGGTTTATCTTCTAACCTGTGAATGTGACTTAAAATATGTGGGTAAAACCTTTCGTCCTTTTAAAGAATGGATTAAGGAATATGTTAGGTCCCCGTAGCTCACTATAGAGAGCCCTACTTGAGGGAACATTACTCAAGTGACTCTAAAGGGCTTCCTTTTTGTGGGTTGGAACTGGTGAAACGTGACAAGAGAAGAGGTGAATATGATAGATTCCTCAGACAGCATGAAAGCTTCTGGATCTATCAGCTGAAGACCCTTCAACCCAAGGGTTTGAATGAGGGCTTCCCTTTTGCACCGTTCATCTAATGATCTGTTTCCCATCTAAATGAACCACATATCTTTGGGACATACTCTCTATGACATAATATGCATATTAATTGCTAGCTTACTGAGGGAGTTACTTACAGACATATTTGAAAATACTTTCCTCCCTTAAGCCATTTGTTTTGAATTGTCCGTATCAATATAGATACTGTTTAAGCTCTCTAGAAGATCGTGTTTTGCTACCAATTCTGTTTTTTCTTTCGACACTTTCAATGTTAATTCTATACACCATCCCTTACTAGGATCTCATAATTTGGAATCCCACAATGATGGCAAACTAATTTCATCTGGCACTGGAGGAGTTAATTTTTTTTCTCCTTACTTTATCCATTCAAGCAAATTGAAAAAAGAACCACTCCCTTTGATGT